AAAAAAAAAAAAAAAAATCCTAAAGTTTCGGTTCATCTGTAGAATAAGATGCCAGTACCCTGTTTCCCTAAATAATGGTGGATGTCTTTGTTGACGCGGAAAGCTGTGTTTTGTTTTGTTTTGTTTTGTTGAGGCAGGGTCTCCTTTTGTAGTTCATGCTGGGCCTGAACTCACTGTGTAGCCCAGGCTGGCCTCGAACTCTTGGAGATCCTCCTGCTTCAGCCTCCCGAGTGCTGGGATTACAGGCGCGTGCCATCATGCCCAGCAAGAAATCTGGTTTTTTTTTGTTTTTTTTTTTTGGTACCGGGGATCGAACTTGGGTCCTTGTCCTTGCGAGGCAGGCAGTGGAACCACTGAGCTAAATCCCTGGCCCCCTAGAGCCATAGTTTTTGTTTTGTTTTGGTTTGGTTTTTTTTGGAGGGAGCTTGATAGAGCCATGTTTTTTGGGTTTTTTTGGTACCGAGGATCAAACTCTGGACCTTGTGCTTGCAGTATAGAGCCATGTTTTAAAACGTGTCTGTTGTCAAAATTTTCTGTATTAGCAGATTATCCAAGTCTACAGAATGGTAGGGTGTGGGCATGAAATTTTTGTCTCACATTTTACATTAAAATTTTTGTATTAATTTCTAATATTCTCTTGCCTTTTTAAATCTTTGCATGTCATTATGAAAATGTTTTCCTAACTTATGAACTAAAGCTTATATCTGATGCTTCTTATACCTTCAGAGTATGTGTCCCTTACTGTTAGGCACAGGGAACTCGGACACCTTACACTCTGTAGCTCATGCTTTGTGTCCATTCCATTATGTCTCAGATTATCTTGGTTCTACCTCCATAGGTGTTCAGGTCTCTTTTCCATCTGGTCTACCTCATCCTGGCTTAAACCTCATCATTTCTGCTTCTTTTGTCTTTTCATAGTACTACTAACATGGTTTTCTTAGAAGAAAATAGATTTATACTTAGCATTTCCCTACTTCCTGTAGACTCCTGGAAGACCTTACAACAAACATACCTTTCAGCCCTTTCCCCTGCTACTCTTCCTAGTCCCTGTGTCCCTTGGTTTACTAGTGCTACCCCGCCTAGTGCTGGGGATTGAATCTAGGGCCTGGTATATGCTAAGCAAGTGCTGTATCACTAAGCTACATCCCTAGTCCTTGACTTACTTTTGCTCTTTCTTCCTCTCTCCCTGCCCTTCTCTTTCTTTTGCATTTCTGGGGATTCAACAGCATACTAAGGCAAGCATTCTGCCACTGAGCTATACCTCTAGCCCTTGAATATTATGTATTTCAAAATGAAAGGGTCAGTTTGCCCTCATCACCCTCAATTCCAGGGGTGGAACCCTATGCATGCTAGGCGGGCACTGTGGCACGTAGCTACATCCTCAGTTTATTTTAAATTATTTATTTATTTATTTTGTTAAATTCTCTAGGCTGGCCTTGAATTTGTGATCCTCCTGCTTCAGTTTCTCTAGTAACTTGGTTAATTTTTTTTTTTTTTTTTTTTGGTATCGGGGATCGAACTCAGGTCCTTGCACTTGTGCAGCAGGCGGCAAAACCACTGAGCTAAATCCCTGGCCTTCGAATAACTTGGATTACAAGAGTGTGCCTGGCATCTTCTCTGATTCTCAAGTTTAAATATACTGTCTGGTTTTCTTTGTTTATTTTACTGTAACTCATTAATATGCTGTCTTCAATAAAGATTTAAAAAAAATTTTTGAGATAGGGTCTTGCTGTGTAGTTCAGGCTGGTCTTGAATTCACTATGTAGCCCAGGGTGGCCTTGAAACTCACTGCAGTCCTCCTACCTCAGCCTCCCAAGTGCTGAGATTATAAGTGTGTGCCACTATCCCAGGGTAAAGATTGTTTATTGATGTATACTCAAGTCAAATTTTTTTGTTTGCTTGGTAGTCTATTAGAATGCCACTGGACCACAGTATAGTCTAGAAATACTGATCCTCAGGCCAGGGATTTAGCTCAGTGGCACCACGCCTGCCTTGCAAGTGCAAGGTTCTGAGTTCGATATCTGGTACTAAAAAAAAGAAAAGAAATACTGGTCCTCAATTTTAGAAAAATATGATTCAAAAGATGAAATATTACTCATGATATAAAAATTTACATCTGTGATTACCCCTATTGCTATAGCCATCAAGTCACTGGGCACTTATACTAACGGGGATATGTAAATGTCTTGTTCTCCTAGGAAATATCTTACCGTGTATCTGGATTATTATTTTCTATATGATATTTTCTAAATTAAATATTTGTGACTGTCTTTCAGGCTGGCATGGCTCTGTATAAGATTGTCCCCAAAAATCCTTACTATTTTTGGTCTGTGATGAGCTTAATTATGCAAGTGAGTATGGCATTCAGAATGGCATTGAGATCTCTAAAATCATTGTCCTAAATGTGTCTTCTGAATATCTTGTATGTGTTTTATTGTGGGTCAAATAGGGGCTTTACATATATTATCAGTTGACTTAAGTTGGAGATATTTGGTACTTTTTGTGAGTTGGTAGATTGGTTTATTAGGATGCTACATGGACTGTATTTCCCCTGAATCTTAGATCTGTTTCTGGGTTATTTGATAAAGTACAAGCCTCCAAGAGTTTACTGTTTCAATCTGAGGTTTAACGCAGATCTTTGAACCAAGTGGCCTTATTTTAGCACTTCTTCTGTCTGAGACTCACTTTGCTCTTTTGCAGAATGGAGATGCTTATTTCCCAGAACTGCTATAAGGACTAAAATGACATTTTATGTAGGAAAGGATGGGAGAAAGGAGGTAAAATGTAGTGATTAAGAAACAGATTTTCTGGGGTCAAACAAGTCTGTCTTTGAATGCATGTGGCTTTACCACATGTTTCAGAGAGTTATTGGGGGAATCTCTTAACCTTAGTTTCTTTTTCAATTAAAAAAAAAGTAATATTAACTTGAAAAGTTGTTTACAAGGGGTAAGTGAATTCCGAGCTGAATCTGTGACACTATTAAAATTATTATTATTATTATTATT